GGCTAAAAGGGAAGCGGGGGGGGAAGGGAGGGAGAGGGAAGCACCTCGCGCGGTATCCGGGGAGGAGGGGGGTCTCGTGGCCTCCTTGCTTCTTGTGTTTTGTTTCCGTTTCTGCCCCGCGCGGCGCCAGTCTCATTTCCGTTCCGAGTTCAAACAACAAGGAGGCGCCGCTGCGGGCGGGAGGGAAGAAGGCCTGAGCGGAGCGCGGGGCGGCGGCGGCGGGGAAATGAGTCCCTTCGCGCCCGCGCGGGGCCTCCTTGCTGTGGCGGCCTTTCGTCTTCGCTCTCAAATCATGAGGCGGGAAGGAGCCGGTCGCTTGGTCCGCCCTTCGCGCCGCCTGAAGGGAGACCTCTGGAGCCCCAGCAAAAGTCCGGGCAGCGGTGGCAGAAGCTTTCCTCTCCGCCGGCAGCGGGGACTGGCCGGGGCCACATATAAACCTGCCGTGGGAATGTCCGCATTCCCTTCTGGCCCGCGATCGCACACCCTTTTTCGGTTCACTCGGGGGTGCTTGTAAGTGTTTGGCAACTTGACAGTTCGGGAACTTTCGTCCCTTTGTCTTAGCTGACCTGTGGGATAATTCGCCATCTGCTACAGTTGTAGTAGGTCTGTCAAAAAGCAGTAGGGTTGTTTAATTGGGGTGTGTGATCGCAGACGCGTTAATAGATGATCTCCATGTATATGCGAATGTACCTCTTTGTGCAAGATGGGGAAAATTGCAATGTAACAGCCTTAAGATACTGTACAGTGAAAACCACATGAGAAGGTACAGTAGTTGTTCGCTGTTATGTAAACGAAGTACGTGGCCCCTCAACCGCCTGAGATAGAATATGATTCTTGTATCTTCAGATTGAGCAAAATCTAGTTTGTTTTCGTTTATGGTCTAGTAAGATGCTAGAGAAGTGAGGGTACAGAAGTGCTATTTCTAGGCACTTTTTGCTTTATGGGTCTACAAGTGTGAGCATTTGAAAAAAAGTTCCTCTTCACAGCCAGTCTTCCAAGTAGGTGTGTGGTGAGATTGGGATGTCTTTCCATTTGAAATTGTGAGTTCTTAGTTCAACAGCTGTATATTCTCTGAAGTGGAACATAAAACAGTTGTATATTTTTTTGGCACTACATAATTGCCAAAGAATATTTCTGGGAACAACTAATCATTATTTCCTTTTGCAAGTGCAATAGTTTTGCTCACCCATTGTTTAAAGAACAAATTGTTTTAATTCTCTGATCCAAAGGTCAGAATATTGTTGCCTCCTTTTTATTAGACAGACTGCCACAGTTGCCTTAAGCCATAATCAGTTTGGTTGGTATGATGAAGTAACTTCTTAAAATTACTTAATTCTTTACAGTCTTATATCAATCGCTTCTTTACCGAAAGCTTCCCCAGAGCAGATTACGTAGATGAGCAGCTACCCTTAGCCTTGCACTTAAAGAAAACAAAAATGGAAAGGGGACAGAGTTGTGGGGAGAAACGCAGTTAAGGCACCAATCCTCCATGATTCAGCAGGTCCTGAGAATTGTTATCTGCATTTGCTGCTACTACCAGCTGGGCTGGAATCGCTTTTCCATCTCAAGAGAGGGTCTTGTAACCAACTGCCTTATGAGTTTCAGCAATAGGACTGTTCAGTTTTCCAGTGGTGATGATGTCATCAGGGCCTTATCTGCAGTGGCAGAAGTGTCATGAAACGGAGAGATTCTAGCAAGACCCCAGAAAGTGAAGAGCCAGCTCTGTGAGGTAGATAGTAGGCCTCTTGAGCAAATTTCACTTCGCCAAGAGCTAGACCTACAGTAACAAGCCAGAGAAGTTAAGCCTCTAAATTATATCATCTTTATCAAGGCCATGTACCACTCAAGATAGTAAGTTACCATGGGAAAATTGGCCTTGTTATCACAATTCCTGACGACAGCTGGTATTCGTAATGGAACACTTATCTTAAATCAGTGTCCTCCAAAGTTAGGGAGTACAATTACAGACTGCTTCACAAATGGTACGGTACCCTAATACAGTTAAATCAAATCATTCCAGTATTCCTAAATGTTGGAGGGAGTGTGGGGAAACTGGTTCATATTTTCACGTGGTGGTCATGTAGTAAAATATGTATCTTTTGGGAAATGATTTTCAGAGAAACTTGTGGAAAAAAAATCAAAAAATTACTTCGTGTTTGCTGCATACAGCTGATGTAATCACTCATCATCAGTCAGCTAGAATTGCTTCAGTCAAAGGCCTTCTTTAATTTATGATGGTCAATTTGTTGTACTATGTTTGGCAAACCATGCTAATGAGTAAACTAACCATGCAGGTGTGTTACCCTTAGACAAGTGAATCTTAATTCTCATTTTTATAAAATATGTTGCCTACTTAACAGCTGTGTTAACACTAATACTCATATGCAAGCTGCTCCAAACACTTATATAGATGTCTGACAAAATCCGCTAAATTAATAATTGACTAAACTGTTTAGTCCTGTTTTTATTACTTCAACTACTGCCTTGTTCTATGTTGCTGTTCATTTGTTTCTTCACCATAAGTAGTTTTAAAATTTCTGTTGTATTTGTGGAAAGTTTTTTTTTACTAAAATTAATTATAAATATCAGTATCATTTGTTTTATGACTGTATTTGCATGTGAAGCATTACTTTGTTATATTTTATTTTTCAGGCTACCTGTTGAAATATTTCAGCCATGACTAAAAGAGAAGCAGAAGAGCTAATTGAAATTGAAATTGATGGTACTGAGAAACAAGAGTGCACTGAAGAAAGGTATATAGAAGTTCTGAATAAAGAAAGCGAAAGAGAATATTCTCAACTGAGTTTGTTTTAGCTGGCCTCTAAGAGAATTCCAGGAGTTGGATCTTTGGCTGATAGTCACATAAAAAAAATTAACGTCTGCTAGAAGGCTTCACCTACATACAAATGTAGAATCTGCTTTAAAAACTGTTAAAATGAGCTTTTGATCTATAATAGATACCCTACTTTGTAAATGTTTAATACTAAAATGCTAAAGATAGGCTAATGATAAATGCTAAAATAGTAGCTTTTTGAAAAATACAGTGGAAATTTCCTTTTAATTGTTTTCTTTCAGCATTGTTGAACAAACATACACCACTGCTGAATTTGTGAGTCAGGCTATTGATATCAATGAACCTGTTGGAAATCTGAAAAAACTACTTGAACCAAGACTTCAGTGTTCTTTGGAAGCACATGAAATTTGTCTACAGGATATACAGGTAGAACAAAAGTATTTTAGTTAAAAAAGGTATATTGGGGATAGTTCGTAATGTATAAGATTTATTTTGTCCTCTGCTGGTCTTTTTATTAGCAATTTTAATCTTTATTATTTTAATCACTACTACTTCTATAGAATAGATTCCATAGAGCATTGTTGTGCCTAGCAAAGATGAACAACAGTCAGATGCATTTGATGTAGGTTCATGAACTATATTCTTATCTCAACAGAACTTTCAACCATGTTTTATATTTATTTACAGCATGTATGTAATGTCTTGTTAAATAGCAAGGGTGTTGTCTGTGCATCAGATGTTTTGAATAACTTAGGGCAACTAGAATAAATGTATTCAAAATATACACAATGGTAAGTTGAATTTATGAAAATCATAAGTTCAAGTAAGCAAGTATTGAAACTCTAACAAACAAGCTGGACTACTTCAGGTGGCACATGAAAGAAGAAAGAAAAAATACAAAGATTTGTAGCATGTCTCAGTAAAGTTACTTGGAGAGGGAAGTTGTGTATTTGCTGTAGGAAATATGTCTTAAGGAAGGACTACTTCCTTAAAAAAAGTCACTTCTGTCAAAAGTGCTTTAAAATCCAGATAAAATTTCATGGGAAATAACCAACCTCAAGGAAGTGATTATCAGTCTAATTAATATGTTAAAAGAAAGCAAGAAGGGAAAAAGAGTTAACTAAAATGTATTGATTATATATTGTGCTTTATTACAAAGCTTTTTGAAAGTTCAGAGATACTATGTTGTAAAGATGCTGATTATTTTCCATGCATATCTTAGTACATAGGCTAACAGAGTCTTGGTATCTTAATTTAGAATCTGATACAAGCTTGCCATGTCAAGATGTTTGTATTAATGCCTGTTAGTTTACTTGTTGCTGCATGATACAGGCATATATGTCTATGTCAGTCACAAAAGGTAGCAGAGTAAAAATACTTTGTTAGCCAACATGATTTGCTCATTTGGAGTTTGTTATTGAGATATATTTGTTTCTAAAATTCAGAATCAAAATCTGTTTTGAAAAATGAGAATACTCTTTAATTTTCTAAAAGTTTTGCTAACACTAGTAATTGCTGATAGCTGACTTTTCCGTTTTCCTGAATTGTATTTTACTATCAAGCTGGACCCGGATCGTAGTCTCTTTGATCAAGGTGTCAAAACAGATGGAACAGTGCAACTTAGTGTCCAAGTAATATCAAGGCAAGGTAATGAACTCTTTAAATAAATAGCATTTATTGTAAGTGTGCAAATATTAAAACTGTACTTGTATTTAAGAATGTCATATGTAGTTTTTGTCATACATGTAATGTAGCTAATTTCTTGTTACAGTGGTGCCTCGCAAGACAATTGCCTCGCGGGGCGAAAAACCCGCAAGACGATTGGTTTTCACGATCCCTATAGTGTTTCGCAAGATGTTTTCTTCTATGACCATGCTTCGCAAGATTTTTGTGGAACAAATTAAAATCGTCTTGCGAGGCACCACTGTATATATTTTCCATTCAGTATATGTAAAGATTCAATTTGCAACCAAATAACTGTGGGAGAAGTTAAAGTTACAGTATCATAGATGCAGATTCAAAAGTGCAGGATCCCTCCATGACACATGCACATACACACAGTTTCATTCCTGAGTGTGCATCATATCGCGTTCACACACTCTGAATTATGACTTGCCTGCAACTACTGATGGAGGAGGATGCAAGAGTCTGTGGGGAGGAAAGGGAGAAGCTGAAATCCAGAGACCTGCTCTCCACTCTTCTTGTATGACTTAAGAAATGCAAAGGCAGCTGTAGTTGTCATGGCTTTCTTACTACACCCCCACTGCTTCTCTCTTGCCGCCTCCTCTTCCTTATGGATTCAGCATTAGGACATTTTAAAACAAACATTCTCAGGGAGTTGAGTAGGTTTCAAAGCAGTCTGATGAGTGAGGTGCAGGATGGCTCTTTTTTCTTGCATGCTGAAATTCCTTTTTTATTATAGGAGCTCTGCATTCATTTTCATCTGACTATTCTAGAATTAATTCCTGACTCACTATAAAGTAGACCTGTATCGGAATTAAGTTCGTAAAGTAGAATGGTGTTTAGGCTTCGTCATGGAATTCTTTTTTATACACCAGAGTGTAAAGGAAGAACAATTGTAAATCAGAAATCATCTCCCCTACTGCTCTTGAAGTGGTATAATCCCCAATGAAATATATGGTAGAAGCAAAATACTTGGTTAATTCCTTTGTCCTGTTTGCAGAGGTTGTTGAAGAAAGAATGGACTCCGACTAGTTGAGGCATTTATTAGTTGAAATGTTCCATTCAGTTCAGTAGTAGTAAATCCGACTTGTAACAACGTAGTGACTTAATAATAATTTTTAAAATGAAAATAATTTCTTGCCTGTTCAATACTATAGGAAAAATGAGCTCACAGTTGTTGAGTATATGGATTACAAAGTAGCTTAAAACAGCTAAAATAATTTTACAGGTATTTCAAACAGTTGTGTGGGTTCAAAGTGCTATTAGTTTAGGAGACATTAAAGAATGTTGAAGAAGACTCTCAAATTAAAGGGTTAGTAGAACACTGCTTAGGAAATACGTTATTATGATTGTATAGGATAATAGAAAGGCAGTGATTTTTCTGAGGTTGCATAATGAAATTTCATTAGAATAGTGTGAAAACAAATACTATTTCTAATCTTTGCCTTCATTATATTGAACTGGGATGGAACAATAGAATAGTTTTTCCCCATTTTCTCTAAATTGCAGCTTTCTGTGCTTGCTCATTTCCTCTCTGTTTGCAGGAATAGAACCAAAATTAAACATCCTTGAAATTGTAAAGCCAGTGGAAACTGTTGAGGTAGTGATTGACCCAGATGCTCACCATACTGAAACTGAGGCTCATCTTGTTGAAGAAGCTCAAGTGATAACACTAGATGGAACCAAACATATAACCACCATATCTGATGAAACATCTGAACAAGTAACTCGCTGGGCAGCAGCTTTAGAAGGCTACCGTAAAGAACAAGAACGCTTAGGAATACCTTATGGTGAGAAATAATATATGTTGGGACATGTATATTTCTCTAATCATAGTTTTTTCTCTCTCTTTCCCTCTCTTCCCCCTTTGTTTGTGAAAAACTGTATAGAGACTTTTAGATTTTTGTCATTTACAATTTTATTGCAAAATATTAGCAGACACCTAGTGTGTTCTACTGTAAGGTAAAAACCATTGTAAATATTTTGTTGACTTCATATTGAAGATGGGGTAACAGTCACTTGCAAAGTTTAAACAAATAGAGGTATATTTAGTATACTTCTGTTCTTTTCTAGACCCTGTGCAATGGTCAACTGACCAAGTACTTCACTGGGTAGTATGGGTGATGAAGGAGTTCAGTATGACGGATATAGACCTAAATACTCTTAGCATTCCTGGGAGAGAATTGTGCAGCCTCAGCCAAGAAGACTTCTTCCAAAGGGTCCCTCGGGGAGAAATCCTTTGGAGCCACCTTGAACTTCTTCGAAAATGTATGTGAGTTTGCAATTAATTTTTAATAAGTTTGTAATCAATTTTTAAACTAAAAAGCCTTTATATCATATTAGTCTTAATTATTAAACAATATATTTAGGCAATCAGTATGACCTAAAATTCAACTGATACTTTGCAGTCGTTTGTTGCAAAATTTAATGCCAAGTAATGAGCCCTTTCTATGTGCCCATTTCATGTCTTAAATGAGTTAAAACACTTGCACAGTTAGAATGAAATAATTGTAGAATAATGTGAAAAGAAGGTCCTCGATGAAAGTAGAGTTTGAATTATTCTAAGACTTGTTAACTGGGATGTCAGTGATTTCAACAAGAGAGTTGTCACTTAATTTTTAAAAAAAAAATTAGACAAGAAGAGGATATTGCTGATAATAACCAGACATTTCAAGCATGGGATAAAGAAATGTGTATAAAATGAAAATACGATGAATATTACCAATACAGAAATTGACAAACTCATTGTTCTTTATCTTTATTTCATTTCTGTATGAATACATTTATACTTGCACATGCACAGTGGTACCTCGATTTAAGAACTTAATCCGGATTGGGACTGCGTTCTTAAGTCAAAACGTTCTTAAGTTGAAGCACCATTTCCCATAGGAATGTATTGAAAACTGATCAATGTGTTCCGAGGGAATAAAAAAGGCAAAAAGGCAGGGGACCTCCCTGGTGGTCCCTGCCGCCACGATCGGCGCCTTCGGAGGTCTTCAAGGGCTTTCCCCCCGACATCGGAGAAAGCCCTTTGAGACCTCCGAAGGCAAAAAGGCTGGAAATTCTAATTTCCCGCCTTTTCCCCCTGCCTTCTTGTCTTCCAAGCTCTCAAATGGCTTCCTCCGATGTCTGGCAGAAAGCTCCGAAAGCAAGAAGGCAGGGAGAAAAGGGGGAAATTCGAATTTCCAGCCTTTTTCTCCCTGCCTGTTTGCCTTCCGAGCTCTCAAAGGGCTTTCCCCCCAACATTGGAGGAAACCCTTTGAGAGCTCCAAAGGCTCCCAGTGGCGGCGGCAGCAGGGTGGGGTGAGGATCTCCGGATGCCTTCCATTGCTTAGAAGGTGCCAATCGCTCTGTTCGCAAAAAATTGGCATCGACTTGCGAACAGAGCCTCAACCTATGAAGACAAAAAGGCAGGGGAAAAGGACAGGGAATTTGAATGTCCCACCTTTTTCCCCTGCCCTTTTTCATCTGTAGGTCGAGGCTCCATTTGCAAGTCGATGCCAATTTTTGCGAACAGAGCTGTTCGGAAGTCGAAATGTTCATAGGTAGGGACATTCATAAGTCGAGGTCCCACTGTACTTCTAACCATGATGTTCCTTATAAAATTATCAGTTACCTTTGTTCTTTCTCTTCTGATTCTCTAATAAAATACTACAAAGATTTAGTTATAGAATTCATTTTGAAAAAAATGTGATTTTTTTTCTTGTAGATGTGCTGGCTAGCCAGGAACACTCTGGAGAAATAGCAACAGTTACTATTGATCAACGTAAGATGTTGTGCCATACATTACTGAATAAGCGTATCTGAAAGTTGTTTTCAGCATGAAGATAAATACAAATCTCAAGCTTGGCTACATTTCTTGAAGCACATGATTTCTGGTGCTTCTAAGGGCATGTTCAGATTTTGGACTTTTGAAACTTGTCAGTTTCACGCCTTATAATTATCCTAGATATTTATTATTATTTATTTTATTTATTTAATTTTTTTACAACCAACAATATCCAAAGGTCTCTGGGTGGCTTACGACGATTTGATTTTAATAAAAAGATAACAACTATTAAAATACAATGCTCTAAAAATTGCCATCAGGACCCATAGTTGATATTATTTCAATTAAAAACCTTCTGGAACAGGAAGGTTTTGACCTGGCACCGAAACGTCATCAACTTTGGCACCAGACTAATCTCCATTGGGATGGCGTTCCATAATCTGGGGGCAGCTACTGAAAAGGCCGTTTGTCTACAAGCCATCCCTCTTACCTCCTTGAGGGATGGCTCTTTCAGGAGGGCCCCCTGGCTAGATCTTAATTGCCGGCTAGGTTCATATGGAAGGAGGCGGTCCTTCAGATATCCAGGGCCCAAGCCGTTTACGACTTTATATGTCGAAACAAGCACTTTGAATTGGGCCCGGGCAACGACAGGTAGCCAAAGTAATTTGAACAGAATCGGCTTGATGTGTTCCCTAGCAGCCCCACCACTCACCAACCATGCAGCTAGATTCTGAATGAGTTGCAGTTGCCGGACCGTCTTCAAAGGCAGCCCCATGTAGAGCACATTGCAGTAATCTATACTGGATGTTACCAGTGCATGCATAATTGTCATGAGACTGCTCGTCCAGGTATGGCCGTAGCTGGTATAATTTCTACATCTGAAGGAACATTTCATTGCACTTTTAAAATCTTCAGATTGTGAAAGAAGATTTACATAATACACAAAAAAACCTGCAGGTATCCAAGTGATTTTTTTATGTTAAGGTTCAGAATGTTGAATAAATTTGCATAATCTCATATAGATACAGTAGACAGTTTATGGACTTGGAGACAGAGATAAATTTCTGTGGAAAAAGCTGAAGTGTGTTTGAATAGTACTACTCAGCTTGTATTAAAACAATTTTGTAGTTTTAAAGTTGCTAAGGTATGTATTCGCGAAGGCTTTCACAGCCGGAATCTAATGGTTGTTGTGGGTTTTTCGGGCTCTTTGGCCGTGTTTTGAAGGTTGTTCTTCCTGACGTTTCGCCAGTCTCTGTGGCCGGCATCTTCAGAGGACTAGAGTGCTGTCTTCTAGAGTGCTGTCCTCTGAAGATGCCGGCCACAGAGACTGGCGAAATGTCAGGAAGAACAACCTTCAGAACACGACCAAAGAGCCCGAAAAACCCACAACAACCATTGCTAAGGTATATTTGAAAGTAATTGAACTATGGCCTACTAAAATCTGGCAAGCAGAAAGACATTGTCCAGGGTGATAAGTGTTTAGCTTCTTTGCCCATAATTTGTATTTTGTAGTTAGATGAATAAATGATGCAAATTGAGCAAATATTTAGCATAATTCCAATAATATGGGATATATTTGGTACATAATACAGAGTTCTGCTTTTCACAGTACTTCGTAATTGAACTATGGCCTACTAAAATCTGGCAAGCAGAAAGACATTGTCCAGGGTGATAAGTGTTTAGCTTCTTTGCCCATAATTTGTATTTTGTAGTTAGATGAATAAATGATGCAAATTGAGCAAATATTTAGCATAATTCCAATAATATGGGATATATTTGGTACATAATACAGAGTTCTGCTTTTCACAGTACTTCCAAGCTTTTGTAGTGAAAATACAAAACTGATACAGAACTTCACTCCTCTGTATCAGAGGAGTGCTGAATGTGAGTTCCGAGTACCCATATTGCTTTTAAAATCTAAAGAGCTCTGCAGAAAGACCTGGTATACCCACAAGTAAATGCTTCTAATGCAGCACACTGACTTAGTCATGATGGATGTAGTGCTCTGACATGCCTATGCCATTACAATGGGGAAGTTCCTCTCTATAGTGTAGATTACACATGCTAAGATTTAAGAAATAGTGCAAATCCACTAGTGCTAATGATTCTTCAGATTTCAAGCAGAATAGTGTCACAAATATCTGATGTGGAATAAATTATGGGAGAGTGTCTTCTATATTACAGTATTGTTGAATGACTGTGGGTTTATGTCACTTGCCTATATTTTTATTGTGTAATATTCTCTTTTCTATAGCTGTTCAAATTATTCCAGCTTCTGTACAGCCTTCTACTCCAACCACTATTAAAGTCATAAACAGTAGCACAAAACCAGCTAAAGTGCAGAGAGCACCAAGGATTTCAGGAGAAGATAGAAGTTCACCTGGTAACAGAACAGGTATTTTTTTTAAAAAAAGTTTGCAAACATTTGTACACTGAACACTGCAATGTCAAATTGTAAAATTTGTTTTAGGAGATGAAGCAAAAGGCAGGTTTAATTGGATGGTTACAGTATTTGAGAAATGAGGAGGCAATGTTAAAGTTGCCTATGGGGGAAATGAAATTGTCAGTTACTTGGGGATCATATTGGAGAAGTCTCTAAATGTTTTGGAAAAATGTTTTTTATTTTAATGTAAATGAGATTACATTGCATATTTATAGTTTACTTTAAATGAATATTGTTTATGTATTTTAACATTTCTCACTGCCTCTTTAGGGATGAAATTGAATGTATCAGTATTCTTTTGTTCCAGAAAGTAGAGCTGGTATGCTTTGAGTTTTGATTAGCTTTTCTTCCTCTGCTTTGTCCATTATTTCTTTCGTTCCAATTCTTTTCTGCCAGTTAGTTTTATTTTAATATCTTTTGTTCTTCTGTCAGAACACTGTTCAGTTCTGAAACCTTTAATGACATTTACAAACTTCAACAACACAAGCAAAATATGAAGTAAAATTACAGAAATTTCACAAATTAGGAGCAAGAAGCAGGGGACAATTTCAGAATTGCAGATAAGAAACCTGCAACGGTAGCGGTCAGCGAATTACATTTATCACTCATGAAAATAAAAACAATTGACTCAGAAGAATTGGAAAAATAAGAGATCCAGGGTTCAAGAAAAAAAAAATCGGATGTAAGAATGAGCAGGGCATCATTCATCATTACTTATTGTAATAGTTTAATTGAACTGTTTATACATTTTCCCCTTTTATTTTGTTATTTGCACACTCTAGCTTTCTTGTTAAATAAAATATTGAGTTCATTTGTATTTTCATCATTTCCTTCTCAACAGGAAATAATGGCCAGATCCAATTATGGCAGTTCTTGCTTGAGCTTCTCACTGATAAAGATGCTCGTGATTGCATTTCATGGGTTGGTGATGAAGGAGAGTTCAAACTAAATCAGCCAGAGCTAGTTGCACAGAAATGGGGACAGCGTAAAAATAAGCCTACTATGAACTATGAAAAACTGAGTCGTGCTTTACGGTAAGTGGAGAACTGAAGAAAACAACAGTTAAGGCATTCACATCCTGTTGTTGGGTTGAGAAGGCTCCTAGAATAGTTTAAGTGTGATTGATAAAAATAAGAAAGGGATGTGATAGAAAGGGAAGAGGAAAATAGCAAAGTTAGCTCCCATTCTTCCAGTTAAGTAATGACAATCTGGAGTGAAAACAATGCAGAGACAGGAAGCTGATGGGAGCTATTCTTCCAGTAGAGCTGCTGGAATTATCCTGTTTTCCATCTCCCTGTCTTTCAGCCTGATTGAATAGCTGCAGTTTAGCTGGAGGTAGCACCTATGTCATCTGCTTCAGCTGCATTCCAGTAAATGAAGATGGTGGGTAGTGGTAGGGAGAGTTCTGATAGAGCTAGTTTTTCAGTGAAGTTGATGAAAAGGCCTTGTTTCCCGACTCACTCTGTTTTTGACATTACTGCTACTGGATGATAGTAAGAGAACTGCTTATACTGACTCATATTAGTACTCATCCAGGCCAATGTTCTTCTGTGGCAGTAGCCATTTGCTTACAGAACTTCACAAGAACATTTAAATGGTTTGTCCCAAGCGTGTACCTCAAAGTAGTTTCTTCTCATAAATGTATGCCACTCATGGCTGCTACATTTCTTTAATAACTTCACCTTTATTGAATAGTTGACTGTAATACATGAGTCATTTGATTCTAACAAGGCTCTGCATAAGACAGTACATATTTGTGTATATGCATCTCTTGAAAATTTGTCCGTTATTTCTTGTTGTAAACAGGCTGAATCTCATCCTTGTGTTCAGTGCTGTTGAATCCTGCATGACCTATTTACATGCACAAATTGACTCCAAAATTTAAGCCCAGTTTGGGAGGAAAGGTTTGGAAAATCTGCCTTGATAACAGCAGTTTTCTCTTGCATGCCTGCAAGTAAAACATATAGCCTCAACAAATGGAAATAAATGTTCAGGGAATCTGTGTTAGATTGTGGCAGCAAAAATGAGTCTTTTTGACATATATGGAGCTAGTCTGGACAGACTACTGCTTTCTTGAAGGAATGAAAAATAAGTTTCATTTGTCTGAAAGATGCAGCTGAAACCCCTTTCCCCCATGACCAGACATTCCCAATTGAAACAAAATCATTACAATAGTAGATATTTTAGGAAAAGGAGGTTGGGGTGATATCCAGAAACTTACAGATATTTTGTAATCAGCTGGCACAAAGAGATACTCTGTCAAATATGAATTGTAGATAAAATCTATTGAATAATGTCTCAGTGAATATGAACACCCACACCAAATGACCTAAAACAGTATTGCTTCAGGTTGTTTGTACTGTGTAATATTTCATCTGCCTTTCAGATTTGTCTCCCATTCTGTTATTGATTGGGACTTTGGGAAATTCCAGTATTCCTCATGTACTTCAATGTATGTTGAATCATTCCATAGCAAGGCATTGGCTTGCAGAGGCAGGGATTTGAATAAAGATTGGGTCTCAAATGCAATTAATTGTCTCCACCACTTAGTGTGTTCATAACTTCATATTCTTCTCACTCAGTATTTGTCACGTTCAGTTACTTTTCAAGAACACTTTCTTTTTCAATGAAGGTATTACTATGATGGAGATATGATATGCAAAGTACAAGGCAAGAGGTTTGTCTACAAATTTGTCTGTGACTTGAAGACTCTCATTGGATACAGTGCTGCAGAATTGAACCGGTTGGTCACAGAGTGTGAGCAAAAGAAACTGGCAAAGATGCAGCTCCATGGAATTGCACAACCGGTCACAGCAGTTGCATTGGCTACAGCATCTCTACAAACAGAAAAAGATAACTAAGTACCAGGACCGAAAAGCTTGGAAGCATAAGGCCTTTATTGTATACTGAGCAGTTTCTGGTCTTAAAATGGGAACTTCTATTCTTCAGCAGTTCAATATGCATGGTTTTTCTACAGATGACTAAGACTCCCATAAATTTGGATCTTTTTCACTGAAAGATATATATTTTGTGTTTAGAATGTTGAGGGGATTGTACAGATTCTTCTCCAACACGAACACATCTGTTGCAACCAGTCTGGGATTGGTAAGAAAACCCAAAATCAGTTGGTACTCTTTGTGAAGACCAACAGATAATTCCCACCACCACCATTAAAAGAAACTGAAGCATTTACACAATATAAACAGTTAATAATTTGAATTTAGTTCTGAGCACTTCTGTCTTTAAGCTACCAGATGGGATGTAATATATTTCCAGAAACAGAGCAGCTGTTAACCATGCTCATTATTATGTAAGCATGCAGAGTTGTAAAAAACTGAAAAGTACCATGCTTGTAATGTGATCTCTGTTTATTAGCAAAAGAAGTGTAATATAGGCAGAACTGAAGATCATTAACAAAGAAAGAGATCCAAGTTTAAGACCTTCAAGGTCAAAACCCAATTATGAGTATTTTGATACAGTATGTAGATAATATGCATATTTGAGGGGAAATGCTTAATTATCTTGAGAGACTACTGAGCTTAATGTGTGGCACAAAAAAGAGTTTCCACATTTTTCCTCTTAGGAGATTAAACACTTGAAATTCTGTCTCTCATCCAAAGAATAGGGTTTGCTTTCTTTTATTCTACACTGCAGAGTATATCAGTTGATTCTGTTTGTACTTGCACTGTAGTTGACTTTGAACTGAAGACTTAGGTTAATCACAGAGAGAAGCCCCTTCCTATTCAGAAATGAGATGAACTGCAGCTATACTGATTAGAAATGAAGTCTGACTTCCTTATGTTATATAGATTACCATATTAAATTAAAAATTCAGGGGGTTTTAAGTTACAGTACTTGGTTTCCAAACTGTTATTTTTGGTGCTTTGGAAAGAAAAGGGTGTGTATTCAATCTAAACAAAATGTAGTTCGGTGAGTTAATATTTTTAAGCATTATCCAGATTAAACACAGAGATACTGGTAGTAGTGCATTGCTAGCCCCTGCATATTCTCCATTATAATATTTTTGATACCATATAAAACCTGGAAAGCAGATTCATGGTATACATTTGTCTCCTTCTCTTCATCTGCCGTTTGTGTGATATGTTTTGAAAGCAGGCTTTTTATTGAATCATAATTAAAAGAACAAAGCTATTGCAAGTTGTGGTTTTCACTTAACAGTCTGTAAAAGTGCAGATGTTAAAATGAGCATCTTCATTCTTTATGAGCAAGTCATTCAGAGTTGAGAATCAAGCTTATAGTAATAAGGACTGAACATAAATTTTTGCTTAGCCCTCGGAGCTGCACATAGTAGCTGTATTTACAGTAATAGTACCACTGATTTCCACATCTGGCTATACATGTTATTTTCAGGATCTTCAGAGAAGTCGGAGGAACATACTGTGTCAATGGAAAAGCATTTTAGGCATCAAAAGCGTTAACATTTTGGTGACAATCCTGTAGCCAATTGTCCACTGTCCCAAGTGGGAATTGCCATCTAAGAACAGAGAACTGCAGTTTTGAGTTTTGCTACTGTTCTTCAAACTGATTGAGAATACTTTTTCTGTCCAAAGTCTGAAAAATAATTATGGTAATAGAAACTCCCATTTGAATCATATGTCAAAAATGTGAACTCTTCTGTGCATAGTAGGAACTCTTCATTTAAAGTGAAAGGAGAGTTGACTTTACCTGAAAAGTCAGGCTTCAGGGTATCAGCGATAAAGAAAACAAATAATGTAATTCATCTTACTAGTTCATATTTTTTGCAAGATACGTTTTGAAGTGTACCAGGCATCTAATATTTCCTAGAGTGACCACAAGTTACATACATTAATGCTTTCTTAGATATAATCAGCTATGCACATAATAGAATAAGCCATAATAGGGAACATGGCATATGGCCATTCTTTTATATACATGGGCTTTGTTTTCTGAACTTTAAACTTTCGTTATACTTCCTTCATAAGTTTGCTGCACTTCTTGTAATATTTTACTCATTTATAAAGAAGCAATGTGTTTTTTAAACATTGGATTAGATCCAGACTTAGTCATGCTTTGAGTTGGACCCACTGATATCAATGAAACAAGGTTGCTATGACTAATTTAAAGTTCCATTAATTTCAATGGGTTGGCTCTTACCATCACTTAGTCTAGATTAAATATTTGTCAGATTTTTGTGGGGGACAATCTGTGGCTAATTTGAGGTCTTCAGTAAGAGGGTATAGATTATTCTATGTCAAATTCTGTGTGGCCGCTGGAAGAAAAATATAGATGGTATATTCCCAAATTTTTGTAAATGGAAGGGTTTTTTGCATACATTTTTACTCTTTAAGGTCACATACTCTGATAATTATGTATTTCTTTTTGTGTTGAATTTTTTGGTAATTTTACATGAAACAATTATTTTCTATTTTTACTCTTAAAATATTTGTGCATAAAATTGTCAATATAGTAAAGTAAGAAAATAAAATTTTACACAGTAAAGAAGTTTGGACTCCTGTACATTTTGAAAGATAGTGTGTGTAATTTAAACAATTTTTTATGATGATGTTTGCGTGCACATTGAATTTAACAGAAACACAGTTAAGCTTGGAACAGACACATAGAAATCAGTAATACACACTATCATGATTAATTTGTTCAGTGGGTTTCGTTAGAGCTACTCTTAAGTACGAGTAATTCCAAATGTAGCCAGTGATGCAAAGTATAACAGAAGGTGGGATTATGTACTTTTAAGCAATATCGTGGGCTGAATTTGCTAATCAGGTTGATAATCAACTGCCAGCATGACACAACCTTACATTCTCCCTCTTGAAGTGTTCCAGGGTGCCTAAAAACTGGCTTTGGAGGGTTTCCTAGCCCTCCAGAGAATGTCACGGAGCTTATTGTCCCTCCAGATTCTGCTGCTGCTCCATCAGCAGAAGCACTCTTGTTGGATTCCTGACCCCTTCCCTTATTCTACCACTTCTACATATTGTGTTGCTTAATTCAGAGAGCATTCCTGACTTCCATCAAAAGCCTGCTAAGGCCTTAATTTTCTCATACCACTGAAATCTGGTGATAAAAATGTGACAATGCCTAGTTAAATCAACGTGAATTTATTTTTTTAATTTTGAATTAAATTATTTTATACCCATTTATTTGAGAAGACTTCACTAGCTGTTCTGTCAGCCTGATCTTTCACTGCTTGCTCACAGCACTTCAAAAACTGATGTTTTGATATTGCTATAACTGATCATTTTAAGGAAGACCAGTGATCATAGTTGGTACTGAACATATTAAGATTTTTGGTATACTGTTCTTTTTAACTTCCTATACTAGAACAAGAAAGAACTTCAGAGCAACTTTAAATTTTTCAGAAAATGAAAAGTTATTGTTATGAAGTACAACACTGTCCCCTCACCGAGCAATGCCAGTAACCTACCTGCTCTTTTTTGTCTTTCAGTTTCCAATCCACAATGTTTTTGTTACTTGAGAATTGCCAGCATATAAATAGAAAGCTAATTTCATATGTAAAGACTCTGAATTGTGCTCTGATTGCATCATTTTTAGGTCAGCCCCCACTTTTATATACTTCTCAGATGGACAAATCTGTGTTACAAAATACAATTTTCCCTACTTTGCATTATCTTTCTACAAGTATTTCTCTTTGAAAACAACCAATATGGCAAGTTGTATATTAGTCTGTCATTTCAGCAGCAGTAAAATTGACATGGAAGGCTGATGCAAGATCAGGATTCCTTTAGTACACCACTAAAAAAAATTAAACAGCTTTTCACTTTAATCTGTCTTCGAAAGAGCTTTTTGTTCAATTTTTTTTTGTGGTCTAATAAAGGTATCCCCACACTTACAGTTGTATTGTGTAAGGTTCATATGGCCTTTTCTATTTTTTTCTCAACTATGGCAGGCCGAGAATGTTTTGTTTTTTTTGGCAACCTTTTGAACTATGGCAGGCCGAGAATGTTTTGTTTTTATATTCTAATGTTTTCATAGATAATACTTCCATTTTAAAAAGTCAAGTCAATTACTCACAGAACCTGCAATTTATGAATGTGGCATATTGTGCTTCTGTATCCTTGCATCTAAACATCTGAAAATGGCTCCGTATTGCTGCACAATATCATGCCCACATTTCTAGAAGGAAAAGGGATGCCAAGCATTGTATAGCAAAAGGCAGCCTAAAGTTAATTACAGCAGTGGCAGTAGTCAAGATGGTCTACAGCAGTGGTGGCAAACCTTTTTGGGCTCGCGTGCCCAAAGTGGGGAAAAAACAAAACGGGGCAGTGTGCCGCGGCGGAACCGGAAGTGGCAGTGGAAGGGGGAATCCTGGGCGATGCCAACATTTCTAGCAGGAAAAGGGATGCCAAGCATTGTATAGCAAAAGGGGCAGCCTGAAGTTAATTACAGCAGTGGCGGTAGTCAAGATGGTCTACAGCAGTGGTGGCAAACCTTTTTGGGCTCGCGTGCCCAAAGTGGGGAAAAAACAAAACGGGGCAGTGTGCCGCGGCGGAACCGGAAGTGGCAGTGGAAGGGGGAATCCCTGGTGCCTCAAGACCTCATTCCAGATCCACCAGCAGCACCAGCTGCTCCTGATCCTGACCTGTCCGGGCACCAGCACTGCGGTTGCAGCCGTCTGCTTAGGTTTGGCTGCGGGGAGGGGGGAGAGAGGGAGTAGTGATCCAGCCGGCAGAAAGGGTTCCGTGTGCCAGCTGTGGCACGGGTGCCATAGGTTCACCATCACTGGTCTACAGGATACCCCCTTCTGCTCACTACCATTCACACTTGTTGAAAAACAGCACTGACAATTGCTTTGTGTTTGGGTGAGAAGTGGTGAACCGATGGAAAAAAAGTCAGCTTCTGGTATTTTTTCTTGCTTGAGGTCACTTGGTGAACCGGAATTTTTTTTTTCTCATGCCTGGCTCCCAGCCTGTGGGGTCACTTGGTGAACCGGAAAACACTTTTTCTCATGCCTGGCTCCCAGCCTGTGGGATGCATTCTCTTCAAAGATGCAATAAATTCCCACTTTTACTGATGTTAACAAGGGGATAAATAAATACACCTTTTCAGGTTGGCATTTGATGTCTCCCTTGCTGTTGTTTTAACAGTACTCTTGTTGATCATGATGATTTTAGTGAATTTAATGCATTAAATTATTTTAATGATTTTTATTGTAGGGTTGGTTTTACTATATTTTATGATTTTATATTAAATTTCACTTGGGTTTTGCTCTTTTATGAAGACCACCTTTTCGGATTGGCATTTGATGTCTCCCTTGCCTTGCTGTTGTTTACACTTGTTGATCATAATGATTTTAGTGAATTTAATGCTTTCAATTATTTTAATGATTTTTATTGTAGGGTTGGTTTTACTATATTTTATGATTTTATATTAAATTTCACTTGGGTTTTGCTCTTTTATGAAGACTGAAAGCCACCTTGAGTGCTATTTTCTAGTCAAAAGGAGGGACAGAAATGTAAGCTATAACAATAGGTGCAGGCATGCCCAAGTTGCAAAAACCATTTTCAGCAAATGGTTAAATCTTATAGATTACTCATATCTTTTCCTCAGTGTTATAAATTCCAGCCACATCCAATTTTAGAAAGCAAAACTGGAAAAGTTGTGAAACATCAAACATTAAGGGAAGGAACTAAAAGAATATTGAAGCAAGACCAGAATAATTTCCTCCCCATACTCAATTCAACAACTGGAGTCATTCCAAAATCTTTGGTGATTACCGTATTTTTCTCTGTATAAGATGCTCCTACTTATAAAAGCTCCCCCCCTTTTCTAACCCAAAATTAAAAAATTTTCTCTTTCAGCATTGCTGAGACATGGGGCAGACCCAAGGGTAAACCTTTCTAGAAATATACAGATGACAACATGTCTGCAAAAATCACTTGAGTTTTGAATTTTAGGAATAAAAATAGCAGCTACTGTCAAGGGTTTCAAATGGTTTAACTAAAGATTTTGGAGATACTCCAGCTCAGATGACAACATGTCTGCAAAAATCACTGAGTTTTGAATTTTAGGAATAAAAATAGCAGCTACTGTCAAGGGTTTCAAATGGTTTAACAAAAGATTTTGGAGATACTCCAGCTGCTAAAAATTATTAAGGGAAGTGAATGACGTGATTTTATTTCCATACTCTGGCACAAATGCAC